AAATTCACCATATCAATATATCAAAATGCAACTTTGAACTATTTGTTCAGTGAAAGCCTATGAGGAAATCACGTCTCTTGAAAGTTAACTACAGTTGAAGGCAGTGAAGATAGGTTTCTTGAGGCATTTGATCCCTGAGGCAGTAAAGCTTTATCAGAAAGTTCAAATCATTAAAGTGATTTTTGTCATTTATTTATAACTGTTAGGGCAGCTGATTTGTCTGATAAAATTCTGATGCTGTTTTGCGGCCAAACATCTATGCAGTTGCCAAAATGGCACTCGCAGCGTTTGGATGCTAAAGTTAATTGCTAAAATTACTTTTTGATCATGTCTTGCCGCATTCCAAAGTGTTTTTGGTCAGCTAGTTAATATCCGTTCTGTGTGCTGCACATTTAGATGCTAGACTAATGCTAAAATTTATCATTAGTCTAGCATCTAAGAAGTAAGAAAAGTTACTAATTTTATTTGCACTTCAAATGTCCAGAGGTAAAAAAAGACAGGCAAAAGTGGAGCTTTAGGCAAAGATCAGTCAGATGGGGAGGTAAGAGTATGTCTATCTCAAGAACTGCTGGCAAGTGTTCTTGACAAAAAACTTGCTGAGCTAAAATATCTTGTCGCTAAGGACTGCAGGCTGTAATTCTTCAGCAAAAAAAGAATAGCCATGTTGGAGGTCAGTGAAATAGTGATTGATTGATTGATTTGATTTGATTCAAATTCTACTACATTTCTAAAAAGCTAATTAGTTGCATAAATTAAAAACATATCAATTAAAGAACGCAACAACAACAATAAAATTATTTAAAAGACAAAATGAGACAGAATTCTTAAGGAGCCTCGAGTCCAGAAGTATTTGGACAGCCCTGAGGAAAGCCACAATGAGATTGAGCATTTACATCAGCGTTTTTACCTACATATCAAAGGTCAACTGACACGCAAAACTATCTTTTGACAACTTTGAATCTTAATTATATTAAAGTTGCGCCGCTTCCAAAATTGTATCTAGTTCTTTTCCTTGCAGTGAGGGATTTCTAGTGTTCGGGCTCCTGAATTCAACTTTTTCTCCAGTTTCGGGTTGGCTTTTTCTCCAGTTGGCTTGCATTATAGTTGCGCCTCTTCCAAAATTGCATCCAGTTCTTTTCCTTGCAGTGAGGGATTTCTAGTGTTCGGTCTCCTGAATTCAACATCTTCTGGCCACCATTCGGGTTGGCTTTTTCTCCAGTTGGCTTGCATTATAGTTGCGCCTCTTTCAAAATTGCATCCAGTTCTTTTCCTTGCAGTGAGGGATTTCTAGTGTTCGGGCTCCTGAATTCAACATCTTCTGGCCACCATTCGGGTTGGCTTTTTCTCCAGTTGGCTTGCATTATAGTTGCACCGCTTCCAAAATTGCATCCAGTTTTTTTCCTTGCAGTGAGGGATTTCTAGTGTTCAGTCTCCTGAATTCAACATCTTCTGGCCACCATACGGGTTGGCTTTTTCTCCAGTTGGCTTGCATTATAGTTGCGCCGCTTCCAAAATTGCATCCAGTTCTTTTCCTTGCAGTGAGGGATTTCTAGTGTTCGGTCTCCTGAATTCAACATCTTCTGGCCACCATTCGGGTTGGCTTTTTCTCCAGTTGGCTTGCATTATAGTTGCACCGCTTCCAAAATTGCATCCAGTTTTTTTCCTTGCAGTGAGGGATTTCTAGTGTTCAGTAGTGTCGGGCTCTGAATTTGAAACATCTCTGGCACCATTCGTGTTGGCTTTTCTCCAGTTGGCTTGCTTATAGAGTTGCGCCGCTTTCAAAATTGCATCAGTTTTTCCTTGCAGTGAGGGATTTCTAGTGTTCGGTCTCCTGAATTCACATCTTCTGGCCACCATTCGGGTTGGCTTTTTCTCCAGTTGGCTTGCATTATAGTTTGCCCGTTCCAAATTGCATCCAGTTTTTTCCTTGCAGAGGGGATTTCTAGTGTTCTCTCCTGAATTCAACATCTTCTGGCCACCAACGGGTTGGTTTTTTCTCCAGTTGGCTTTGCATTATAGTTGCGCCGCTTCCAAATTGCATCAGTCTTTTCCTTTGCAGTGAGGGATTTTCTAGTGTTTCGGTCTGAATCAACATCTTCTGGCACCATTCGGGTTGGCTTTTCTCCAGTTGCTTGCTTTATGTTGGCCCCTTCCAAAATTGCATTAGTTCTTTTCCTTGCAGTGAGGGATTTCTAGTGTTCGGCTCCTGTTTCATATCTCGGCCAACATTCGGGTTGGCTTTTTTCCAGTTGGCTTGCAATAAGTTGCGCCCTTCCAAAATTGCATCCCAGTTCTTTTTCCTGCAGTGGGATTTCTAGTGTGTTCGGGCTACTGATTTCAACATCTTCTGGCCACCATACGGGTTGGTTTTTCCAGTTGGCTTGCATAAGCTTTGCGCCGCTTCCGTTATGGCATTCCAGTTCTTTTCTTGCAGTGAGGGATTTCTAGTGTTCGGGCTCCTGTTCAAACATCTTCTGGCCCATTACGGGTTGGTTTTTCTCCAGTTGGCTTGCATTATAGTTGCGCCCTTCCAAATTTGCATATCAGTTCTTTTCCTTGCAGTGAGGGATTTCTAGTGTTGGTTCCGAGTCACATTTCATTTCGGTTGCTTTTCTCAGTTGCTTGATTATAGTTGCGCCAGTTCCGATTGCTCCAGTTTTTTCCTTGCAGTGAGGGATTCGTAGTGTTC